TTTAGTTATGTTCAAGGCTAATATGTATCATTGCTTCACTAAATGCAATGAATATATATATATATATATATATATTTATATCAATTATAATCGATTTGCTATTAATTTAAATTTATAATTTATATAAAATATCACGGGCCTTACTTTAATATTAATATTAAGCAAGCTATCTAATTTTAAATTTTTTGGCAAAAGGAAAAATGAAATATTTGGATACTGAAAATGGGTACGGTGAATTGTTTCTCTGCAAGCAAATCATTGGTGCAAAATGATAATGAAATAATATATATATATATATATATATATATACCAAAGGACTGTATGGTTGACTTAAAATGAGGGTTTTGATTTGGCTGTTTCAACGTAAGTCCAAAACACTCCTTTGCTAGTACTTGCTAGCACATGCTTCCATGTGAGACCATACTAATGCGAGGCTCTGATTTCTTTGCAATCAATAAATGGCTGGGATTCCAACATGTCACTGCAAAGGAAAAAAAAGAGAGAAGAAAACGAAATTTCTTTTCTTTTTTTCATGTAAAAGGGAAAAACAGGGAAGATATTTGTTTAAAGAGTTTATTGGGTGTCTTTGAAGTTTGAGGTTTAGTGATTTACAGGAGGCAGGAAGGTTAAGAGTAGAAGCATGTAAAGCATAAAATAAAGTATTTACAACTTTTTTCTGTTTTAGATAATAGAAATGATGTATTATTTTATTAATTTTTGCGTTTTTGGCACAACAAATTGGAATTTTGATTGTGAATATGTTATGAAAAAGTGGGGCATCATAAGTTTGATCTATCAAGTCCAGATATTTATGACATTTGTCTACTTTTGAGCAGCATGCCTAACCAACTACACTAGAATGTGGAAAATTTGTTTGTGTGGAAACTTCTCAACCTTATCAAAATGGGATGCATGTCGGGTTGCAATTTAACAAAAATCTGAGTTATTTAAAATTTTTAAATAATTTTTTTATTTTTTATTTTATTTAATTAAAATTTTATATTTTTATTTTAAATCAAATAAGTTTTCATAATTAATAATTGATTAAGCATTATCAATTGAAACACCATTTATCATTTTATGTTATATAATGTTGATATGTCATGATAGATATTAATGTGACATAATGATATGATATGATCATATGATATTTTTATTTTTTAAACTAATGTCATGTAGATATAAAATAGTAAGTAATATTTTGATTAATGACAGTTAATCTTCTGTTAATTATAAAAATTTATTTAACTTAAAATAAAAATATAGAGATTTGATGGAGTATAATAACAAATAATTTTTTTTTAAATAATTGATGAACTTTTTTGAATTTTATGTCAAAAATTATATTTAAATTATAATTTTACTTCAAAAGCATAATTTAGTCAACAAAGCATTGCTTGGACCTTTAAAAAGTTTAATGATAATCCTATGCAGTATGCAATATCTAGCTTTTTACCTTATTGGTTTTTAGGTGCACAATTTGCACATGAATTGTGTTACTTTATTGTAATTACTTTAATGAAAATTATATCTTTTACAAGTGAGTTTAGCAAAATAAGTAATCTATGTATTAAGGATGAACTCTATAACTCTTTTAAATAAAATTTTTTAATTAATTACTTTTTTTTTAATTGGAGGAAGAGAGATTTGAATTTATTCTTTAGGCAAGAGAATTGTGCACCAACTAATTAACGAAATGTCTAGATACTAATTACTTTTTTTTTAGTTTTTTACTTTGTTAACCTAATTATTTTTATATTTAAATTTTTCTACCAATTTTTTTAGATTTACTACTTCATTAAAAAATTAGTTTATGAACAAGGACTAACAATTAGTTAATAATAATAATAATAATGATATAATTGAAATTTGACAGAAAAAAAAACAAAAAGGTGATATAATCTTCATAATAGTTTTCCATCCATTAAGTCACATTTATATATAATATAGATAAAATATAATACATTATGACATAGATGCTTTACTTTGATTGATATATATATAAAATCAAGAAATGCATAGTTCTTTTTTTTTTCTTTTATTTAATGGCTATATTGAAACATGAACAGAGTTAGGTATTGCATTAAACAAATACAAGTAGACATTACCTACCTAGTAATCTAGGCTGTAAACCTAAAAATATATTAGGTGTTTTTTGGCACACTTTGTTATGAAAGGCTAGGGTTTTCTAAACTTAATTGCATTCACTTACTTTGGGGTTTTGGAAGTATGTATGCTAGTAGGAGTTGGACAGGTGGATTTCAAATACTTTAGAATGAGGAAAGGAGAACATGGTGGCATGCTTTGAAACTCGTATTAAATTAGCTCAAAGCAATGGTGTTATCTCTTTACCCAGATATTAAATTCAATAAACCACTATAATTCACGTTTGTTCCTAGTATTTAATTGAAGAGATTAATAATTAATAAAGCTTGAGCTCTGTGTAAAAAACAAAAGGTTATCCCTCAAAAGGAACACCTACAAAAAACCTTTTATTACTTCTACTTGGTTCAAAATTCATAAAGTAAACCTTTTTTCTTGTGACATTTAGCCTTGGATCCAGCTTGATTCTGACACGTGCCTAATGCCAATTGATTCATTGCAATATTGTAAGAAACATAACAATAAATTTAAAACACGATTTAATTTAATAAATTAAGACAAAACTTATCATACTTATAAATATCGTATTTGAATTTAACTCATTTTAAAAGAACGTAAAATTATCGAAAATAGTTGGCTTATTCGTGTAGTTTCTATTTTCTTTCAAAATAAGTAACAGTATAACTATAAATATACATTTCTTAGTATATCTTACTGCCCCTAATAAGTGTGTATCAGCATATAATATAAGGTGTAAGTAATGACTAGTGGATGGAAAATGCGGACAATTGGAACTATGGAAGTGGCAAATAATAATAGGAGATAAGGGTCAAATTCCTTTGGTGTGATGTTGACTATATTAGACTGTTTTATGTTGATTGCAATTTCATATTCAGTATTACAACTGGAAATTTTCTGGCCTAAGAGTTGACTGAGCAACGACAAAGATCTAGGCATTCTGCTGCCTTTTTTTTTATTTGGCCTCATGTAGAGGGACAAGACCGCAAGGGGTCTTACCGAAGCTTGATAGTGAAGCAGATTTGACTTCTTTCTGGCTTGATTGGAAGCTTTTTCTTGTGGGAATGATGGAATGCTTTTTACTCTTTTTGGTTAAGTTTAAAACCCACGTTCTTATTTTCTAGCCCACGAATCAAGCAAAGCTGTCTCACAACTTATGGTGAATATAGGACTCATGTTTTAAAACTTTAAAAACAGCTTCATTATATATAAAAAAAAAAAGGGTCGACACCTTAACCCAATAATTAAAACTTGATACTTGGATTCGAAACTCTGAACTTTCAAGTGAAAGACTAAAATTTATTACGAAAGAAGGCATCTTTTGTTATAAAATTAGGGATGCCAATGACATTTGTGATTGAGTATTTTATATTATATAATCTGATTAAATAAGACTAAGATATCCTATAAATAAATTCAGGTAAGATTTAGATAGTAAAATATTTCTATTAAAGATTTGAATAAAATTCAAGTAGTGGTTTTAAAATACTTACTATTGCAATTCAATTATAAATAATAATTTTTAAGATAATTAAATTTTAATTTTATATATATTATTTTTATTTTTAAAACTTTTTATAATTATTGTAATACTTACCGATATTCATTAATTGTTCTAAACATAATTTTAAATTTAAATTTATTTTTTTATGAATTAATTTTAGTTTATATTAAAAACATACATAAAAATATTTTAATTAAGTAATTAATGAATACGATGGCAATTTTAAAAAATTAGTCAAATATTTATAAAATACAACTACCTTTCTCAACCGAGAATCTCCCCGTTCATTTAACTCTCCCTCACTCTCCTCGCATGCCTGTCAATCCTTTTTCTCCAAATTTTCATCTTTCAACGTATCTTCACTTTGAATTGTGGTTTACCACGAATATTAGTTATCCTTAGATGTTCCTGAGCCTTCTCTAAGTTCTAACTCATGCTTGGATCATTAAAACGAATTATAATAAATCAAAATTAGAAGAAGCAATATTGAAAAAGAACGTATGGGATAGCCGGACTTAGACCTTATGTACCGGTCCCGAGATAATATATATATATATATATATATATATTTGGTGCAAAATACTTTCAACAGGTAATTAAAAATATTTTTATCAGTTATCTTATTCAATTTTTATTTGCAATTATTTTTCACATTTGTTACAAAACTGTATAATTCCGACTAATTATTGAAGTGACAACATATAAAAGTTTAAAAATTTTATCCAGCAATTGAGTCAAGCAGTGTGATGCACTTCAACTTTCTATACTATATATAAAAAGAAGCTTCAATGGAACTTCCACACTTGTCCATGTGGAGGCTTTAATAAGTGGCTGTGAAGCTTGAACAAGGCTTCCAACTCAAACTTTGCCACGTGGATCCTAAAGGGCAGAGTTGTGATATATTTGGCAAGTGAGCTGCATCGTGACCGATTTAAGCTGAACAAGCCATATGCAACATACGGGTTTACCTCTATTATATAAATATAATGTGCGCTGAAGTAAATTGTGAAGCTAAGAGTTCAGCCTGGTAAGGGCCGAGCAAGTTCAGAATCATACACTGTTTATCATCTTGCTAGAGAAATAACATATCGATTTGCAATGAATTTATAGGAACTAAACATTCTAGTTTAAAAAAATCAACACATCAGTTTAAAGATTCTAGTGATTAGAATTAATCATAAGTCATAACAGTCAGAATGAATTAATAAGAACCGACAACAGCCTAACGGATAAAGATGTTCATCAGTTCTCATCAGATATTCCTAATTCTCATTAACATTCAAGTTTCTTATTGTACTTGGACTTGCTAGTTGCTATGGAGGTTGAAAGATACAATGTCCGATTTCCACAATAACCAGCATGTACTTGGCATAAGAAACATTGTATTGGTACTTTTAATCTGCCATTACCAACACTAGGCAAAAGCTCCTAAAAGAGCCCACGAAGAAACACAACTCACAAAATTGATACTACACAGAATAAACTATAATTACAAATGCAATTGAACAAACCTCTAATCTCTGATATTTGACAAAAATTTACCACTACTTGGCACATGTTGAACAATAACTTCCACGGAAAAGGCTTACGCACCATGCTCAAACAACTAGGAGATGAGTAATTATCTGTGCAAGCACAAATCATATGATTTTGGCCGCTAACCAAATCAAGTCACTTTGGAGTGCTAATGGGATAAAATCTCTGATGCTCGATCTTGTGCATCAGGAGGAATCTCCCTTCCAGGCACCTGGACTTTTAGAAGATTAACATACCTGTCAAAACAACAGCATAATTCGTCACTAAAGTAATATGAAAATATTTTGGTCCAATTTGGAGAAATTAGTCAATGCTACTAACTCTGCAGCTGTAAACAAGTGCTCATGTTCTGTAATGAAGGCAAGCAGGGCCTGAAATAAAGAAAAGTACAAATCAATTGTCACAACAAAAAGGTTTTTCTGTAAATCACGAAAAGGGACTATAAGTTCAGATAGCTTGCCTCAAATGGCATATTTAACAGTTCATAATACGTTCGGACATGATCTAATCTCTGCTGTACAGCTTCACTGTCAATTGATGGGATAGCTGCAAGGGCCTGTAATGCCAACAGAGATTGTAAATCAGAATTGTTTTGTACACGCAAAAATGAAATCAGCAGGATAAACTCAAACCATTTGGACAACTTGGAATCGAATAAAAGCTTGAAACTTCATTTTTTGATCAACTCTTGGCCAAACATGGTAACAACAAAGCCAAATCCAAGCACGGCTAATTATAGGCAAGAATAGCATTGCACAATTGACCCTAGCATGACCTATGTCCCTTTTCATAAGAACTGATCACCCTTGTGTGATGAGAAAACTAAAGGTAAAAAACCAGAAGAAACAGGGGAGAGAAAGTAAAAGAGTGAAAGTCCGAGCATGCAACTCTTGTCATAGGGAGATGTGATTGCCTCAGACATCTAGCCACCTAAGAGCGCCACTATGATTTCTATTATACTTTAGAAGGAAATAGATCATTAAACAGAAAGACAGACTCAAAATATAGAAAATAGTTTGAACTATTATTTCAAGCAATAAAAATTGCCTCTTCGCAGTTAATAAAGATTGATTCCAATCAATTGAGGCTGGCTACAGAGATATTGTTTCACCCTGTGTTGCTCTGGCTCTTCATTTTTCCAAAAGTACTCATGTCAGAGACATATCCTACACTTCAAAGTGGACATGGTATGGGGTCCAAGCTTCCAAATATAAGGAAAAACTTAAAAACAATTGACCAAACTTGTGTCTCACAAATACCCACGTCTGATTCACTCATAAGCTGAGCAACATAGGTTTCACCATTAACTTAACAAGACTGAGTTTGAATAAGGGCAATACTCAAAAGTTTGTAATCTTCATACAAAGAAAACTTGAGAGTTGACTCAAAAAACAAAAACTAATCCTCCTCTACATAAAAGCAATCAATTGACGTAACAGACATCATCGAACTGCATAAAATGGCAGATAATATTCCTATTCCTAGTGAAAAAATGGGAATATTGTCGCTTTATTTTGACCATCTTCAGAGATAAAAATAAAACTCCCATTCCACCACCCCACCCCATCTCAAAATAAAAAGACATACTAACCTGTTCTAAAGCAATTGAATTCCGACATATCTGCTGAACCCCAAACAGATTGATCAATTTCATGTCAGCCAAAGCCTAATCAGATGTATTCTCCCATCAGTAAGAGGAATAAAGTAGGTACTATTCTATGCTAAATTGAAACTAAACTGAATAATGAGCTAACAGAATCTATGTTAACATTACAATGAACTCCAACCTTAATGGACGCATTTGTAGCAATACTACATATTCCACCAAATATGTAATTCCGCTTCACTCCCGCAACAAAAGGTGCCATTTCCTCATCCCTGCGCGTTATCTATGCATACAAAAAACAAAACAGAAAATTTAAATGATCGTAGTATACAAAAAAAAAAAAGAAAATTTAAATGCTGGTAGCATTATAATATTCATTAAAGGAAAACCAAGCACCTGGCCCTCTGAAATGGGGAATACTAATTAGAAGAATTAATATGGCATCAAAATTTTCCAAGCAATCTGATCAATATTTTACATATTAAAAAAAGTTGCAGGAAAATAATGCCCAAAATGTTTTCATTATCTACTTTCTTCACTACCATAAAATTCAAATAGGAAAATGCAAAAGTGAAGACATCGACAAACCCAACAAGGTCAAATATAATCTGAACATAAAATAGCCAATAACATTAAGAACCCTCCATATTAAGGTGGCAGCCAAACTCTACTCTTCTCCCATGCAGGTTATTGCCCATCAAGTAAATTAGACCTTAATTCTAACTTAAAGGAGCATGGATGATGGACATATCCATTGGAAGTTTAAAACTGAAATAGGTATCCTTAAAGGGGGGCAAAAAATACCACAAATGAGATATTACCAAGAGTTGCAGAAAGTGACCTGTGCAGTAAGTGAAATAACAAAGTCATCAGGCTCTTCTGCATCTTGGTTTTCCAGGTATTCCCTATTTGTCATTTCCTGTTTGAGCCACAATGCTAGGTTAGTTACAAGTGCTTTGACCACAGTCCTTCAAATGTTTCTAAATCTTGGTATTTTGGCATTTTTCCAAAAAAAAAAAAATGGTAATCTGACAAACCTGCATGTGGAAAATAGTCTCCAACTGCATCTCCACACGTAAAACTTTTAAGCAATCAATTGCTAGTTTTCGGTACTCATCTGCAAACGATGCCAGATCCCTAGCAGGTGAACTGCTTGTTCGTGTATGGCTGGGCTTGCCACTCTCCACATGATTTGATGTTTGTGGGGTTGTTTGTACAAGTCTACATGTTGCATTAGATACGCATAAAATGTAAGAAGCAGCAGAAATTTTTAGGAATAGGAAGTTCTCAAAAGCATCAATTGTCTATCATGACATCATGCTTGCAAAGGATACGCTCCATTAAGAACATAAACAGGAAAAATTATATACCATTCTTCATTCTATGTATGGCAAGAAAAGAGAAAAAGAAGGAAAGAAAGAGAAAAAAATATATAGATATATCAAAGCAATAACATTTATTTTTCTTAGATGCAAAGCCCCATTTAGCTGCATATACAATTTTAGGTTACAAATGTTAATGCCATATCATGACTCCTTTAATCACCAATTTTTACCTGGATCCAAAAATATGTAATTCAATCACATATAAGAGAATAACACATGCTACTTGCATAACTTATAAGGTATTGTAACTCATTAGTACATGTAGATACACATTGAGATGCATGCTCTAGAATACAGGGAAATGGGAATAGATCTCACACCTCATGTATCCTAATAACACTATGTCCTCTTAAACTACTCTTTAAAGAGCATCATGGCTTCAAAAACATTCCACATTATATCCAAGTACCAACTCAAGCCAGATGAAGAACTTGCCTTTCAATTGAGTCTGCAAGATATTCCAATGAATCACTCAGGGATGCCAGCAAAACAAGTTTATTGTCATCACGAATTAGATTCTCCTGCAGAAGAGATGTGGTAAGAGAAGGAAAGAATACCTTCAACTGATATTTTCACTAGAAAACATTAATAGATATGAAAGATGGAATCTAACTTTCATTAGCAAGTCCAGCTCAAAAGCATAATAAATTCAATTTTCTGGTAGAGTAAATAGCTGACAGCTAAATTTGACTAAAAATAATTTTAAGACAGTGTGGCAGAAGTCATGACCAGGCATGTAAGTACCTGCTTAATAGGACGCAAATTTAAGAGAAGTTCACTTAGTTCTGATTCAACCTCAATACTTTCTGCATCAGAAGCAATATTTCTTGCATTTGACTGACCAAATGCATTTGGTAAACATGCACTAGCTGGATCAAGTCGCATCAATTTCTCAATATCATGCCTTCCAATAAGCATATAACTCTGCTTCTCAAGAACTGCCTGAAATATTAGCAAAATGTTGATGAATGGAAAACAATGATTACCGTACACATAGTAGCAGGTACATAAGAAACTGGCTAGATTAGAGACCACTTCTCAATTATATTCTCAGTAACATTGATGGCCAATCAAGAACTAATTTCAATTATCTCACATCTAATAATTCTATTAATAAAAATGCACACAATGCTACCCAGTTTATACTATAGCACAACATTCTACATTATCTGTGGTACCAATTTTGACAAGACCAGACATTCTTTACAGTCTCCTTTCCGTTTTGATCTTTTCAGATCTTTAGGGACATTTTTTGGTAATTATCCTGCAGGAAACTTTTATCACAATTGCAAACATTATCACTATTAAAAATTAGGCCAATTTTTTGCTATTTTTCTACACTGTTAGCCTATTTCCATTCTTACTTACGCACTAAAAGATCTGGTATGACTATGAGCTGTTATATTAACATCACATCTGTGTTTTCATGGCCCCTACAGAAGACAGCCAAATTTATAAATCTTAACCCTTGTTTGACAATTATGTATGTCAAACAAATGCAATTCCACCTAGGCACTGAAAAATATATTATCCAATAGTTTGGGTCCATCTTAACCAACAAATAGAATGAAACAAAAAGCAGAAATTGCCCCCTTGCCTCTAACCAAGGCTAACGTCCTTGCACAATTACAAACAACCTATCTATCAATAATATCTAGAACACTAATTAGTCAGGTGAAGATGTGTAAACATCCTTATATAAAATTTTCTTTCTTCCTAATTTCACATGTTACCAAAATGGCCAAAAACTGAAAAAAATGGAAACAACTAAACCAATTAGAACTTGGTCGGCATAAGCCACAACCAACAACAAATAAAAATCATGTAAAAAGCAACCAATAGTTTGCTTTTCTTAAGGAAGAACATACATACAGAAGAATCCATACCTCCATGTATGAAGTTCGGCATCTTTCATAGGTTCGCTCGAGGAAAGTTTGAACATACTTCACAAGGTCAACGGCAAATTTAGGCATTGCTTGAGCCCAACCGAGCAGCTAGAGTTAAATTAAAATTTATTATTAGAAAAAAAAACAACAGCTGTAAAGTAGATGGTTTAGAAACTTGAATGGAAAATGTTCAAGACAAACAAAGGAAAATGCTAAATAATTTTTAACTGAATTTTTTTTTAAAAAAAGCTAATATATCTATTGTTGCAAAATAATGAACATAACATTATGAAATTGAGGGTAGATGGTTCAGAAACTTGTATGGGAAAATATATGAGATTGAAAAGGAACAGAAAAAAGTAGTTTCTTGAGGAAATAAGAAAGATAAGATCAACTTGCCTCTTTTGCTAAGAAATCAATAGCCAGAAGCCCCTGCAAGATAGGTCGACCCTTCTCAATTGATGAAGCATATGAAACACTAGTATGTGCCCGTGGCCGAAATGCAGCTGGACCTGCATGAAAACATTATCAGGTTAAGAGTTTTGAAGGAGAAATAAAGATGAAATCAAAAGCGGGACCATCACATATATGATATAACCAAGGTTTGACCATTTTTGAACTCTGCATATTGCAAGACAAGCCCACCCCCAGTTTCTTGCAGCAGGGTTCTCATAAAAATTTCTTCCATTGTTCTCTGCTTTCTAAAATGAAATTCCTACATTTACATCATTCAGAAAGATGGACATGTAAATTATCTTTCATCCATTCCATGTAAATTAGTAATGAGGACTCCATTGTTTACATAACTACTTTATTTAAACAAGTATCTCATGCATGTTTATTTGAATATATTTTGTTTTCTCATTAATATTGTGCCTACCAACTATTTAATGTACTAAGTCACCAACGCTGGTGAAACAAATCTAGCTTGAAACCCATCAAACAAGATCAGACCCCTCTTCGTCTTTCTTGTGATAGCCATCTTAAGATGTTGAATAAATGAAAATACCAATAATATATGATTCATATAAAAGTGAGACAAATTATTTTATAGACGTAGTTTTGAATCTAACAAGTTGACAGTTAAAAACTATTAATGAGAGCCATGGAAAAAATGATGAATATTGAATTGCGGGACTCATGGTTGTAAAACTTGCTTGATATAGCTTGTTGTACGCCTTTCCGGTAGTCAACAAACATGGTTGGCAAAAGGTGGTCCTTCACAAAATTCTCCACAAAGGCTAGCAATCCATCATTCCTGCAATTATAGAAATTAAGGAAACAAAAGAACATTGATGTCAAAGATACAGCCCACTTGCCAAAAGAGTTTGACCACATATTTTGCAAATTTCACCTAGATTTGATGAAATGAACAAAAATTCCATCTTATCCACAGCTTCAAATATTCTTAAAACAAGAAACATACTAACTAAATTGCCCACATTTATGATTAGCAAAGCACACAGATCAAGATCACCATGAATGATACAGTCAACTTCCAAAAAGAAATAAATACCATAAAATGAAATATAACTACTAAGAGAGCAAATTCTTGCAGCAAGTTCACCTCCGTCCAACAAGAAATAATGAAAAATGCAATATATAATTCCTAGAAAGAAAAATTTGGAAAACCCTCATCTGTATGAGGGATTAAAAAACTCTTGTTAAAAGCATTAACATCAAAAATGTTTGAAGATGCCAGAACAAGGAACATGGTTGAAAGCATTTGGAAACTAATGGAAACTTAATAATCAAATATGTGTAATAATACAGCTAGAAAGTTAAGGGTTGTAAACATTTTCCCATTTCACATCTCACTTCAAGCCCAAACATTTCAATGTAGCCAGATGAGACTGACATAAAGAAGAGCACAGGGTGAGATATGAGAATACTTGTGTGCTTTGCCTAATGCTATTCCTAAATACTTATCATATGATTCACACAAGTGAGACTTCTTTGTACTGCATACAAGCTTGGAAAAGAGACCTACCCAAGCTGGGCATACTTTCTCGGCAGCATTGAAGCAACTCTATCTGTAAACTGCAAAAAACATCAGATTAAAAAAGGCCATTTACAGAACGATCTATGAACATGTAACAAGAAATATGTTGAAAACATGGATACTGATTCTCATGGTCCCAAACCTCAAGAACAGGTCGGTATACAGATGCCACTAGATAAATGCCTTGCTCAGGCAAGACAGCTGCAGAGCCATAACCTTCTTGCAAAACATTGGGACCCCTCCTACTCCATCCTTGGCGAATGAGATCAACCCCTATATAGTAGATGAGATATACAACAATAAATGTCGATGAGGAGATGATCAATAAATTGAACATGTGAAAAAGTTACAACTATAAAGATTGCCGCTCAACAAGTCAAGACAAGTTTCCAATCACCACAAAACTAGAAAAGAAATCATGAATGGCTGCTGCAAAGAAAAAGAGGGAGAGAAAGAGAACATCTCTCAAATCAGCACAACAAAAAGTCACCTACTCCAACTGCCTGCTGAACCAAGCCATTTGGTTTTATAAATGACATCCCTTGAACGAGTCAAAACTGTGCATTTTTACATTTAAAGCCAATTGAAATCTCATCATTCTTCCCCCCGCTAGCTCAACAAACGATACTTCAAATTAAGAAGTTTCACCACCATGCATACTGTCAACTAAATATAAGCAAGACTATAGTTCTACAATGTTTACAGTGAAGAACAGCAAGCTTCTACCACATATCTTTTGCAAATGAGATTGATCGTCCATTCATTTAAGTTTCTTTTACCATTTGTATTTTCCTTTAAGGAAATGCCCATGAAGAGGTGAACCATCATCCTATAATACCACATATTTGCTACAAGTGTTACTCCCAGGATTTAAACTCAAAGAGTCAAGCTCATCAGCATTGATTTTACTTAATTGCACAAACATCAAGCCTCCTTGGCTGATTCATACTAATAATCACAATAAGGGAACTCTACCAAACCATCAAACTAAAATTCTTTCACTGAGGATAGCAAATAATGTGTGTGTGTGTGTGTGTGTGTATATATATATATATATATATATCAAATCACATTAATAACTTTAGATAAATCATGGCAAAAAGAACTAATAACATTCAATAAGTTAGCAATAATTCAACTTTAGCATACCCTGGTTAGGAGCCGATATGGTAGCATCTGTGAAACGGAACGCAAAAGTGAGGCCATCTTCTGACCCATCCCTGTAACCAACACCATCAACTTTCATGCTTGTCCAACAAATTCCATGCAAAGAGAATTTAATAGGCAAATTATTACAGTCATAATGATAAAACAAAAAAAGTGCTGGCAAAGTACATAATGTTAAGCATCAAACCCAAAACCAATAGACTGTAGGGGAGAAGGCAACTTGAACATAAAGCCACAGCAAGCTCAAGACCAGTTAATCCTCCCCCTCATGTCTAAACCAATACTAACAAACAGCACATGGGCAAAAGCATAAGGAGGAACAGACAATGACAACAATGAAAACCATAACAAACTTGGGCTCTAATATCATGTTAAGCATCCAACCTAAAACCTATTGACTATAGGCAGAGAGACCCAACTTGAATGTAAAGCACAGCAACTTAAAACTTAACTGACGTGGGATAAAACCACCTAATGAAATAATATCATATCTGAAGCCTATATAAAACAAAAAATAGAAGAGATGCAAACCATTTTCAATTTTCTTATTTATTCATTCCTGCAATTCTGGTGAAAATAGTATTTCAGAATAGCTATCATTGCAATTCTGTTGATCAACCACTCAAAATAAGAACAAATGATTACAACAACTGAAGGTCATGGGCTGAACTATGAATCCTAAAAATGGTAGGTCAGTAACAATAAAAGGACGGCACCCAAGCTACATGAAGATTCCAGCTTTTCAGCCACTTTATCTTTTATTTTGGAAGTCATGACTCCCTGCTGGGCAATAGTTTTTTTTTTTTTATTGTCAATCAATAATTCAGACACAGGGAAGGGGAGAAAGCAGAGATAATGCAAAGCATACTTACACCATAAGCAATACATTGGGAAGCAAATAGCTACTTACATACTCTCTTAACTCATCACAGTTGATATGGAATGGTATTAACTTCTTTTCTATCATCTGATTATTAGTCAACAATTTGCACTTACACAACACACTTTGACGTTGTGGGATGCTATCACATGCCTTTTCTTTTGATAATTAATAATAATTTACACACAAACTAAAAGGTAAATGCTAACTTTGGGGAGTAAATTACAATTTATATCCTCCTAATTCATGGCACATTAGCAATGAGTTAATTATGATTAAATAAACAAAGAGAATTGTGTTGTGGGAATTTTACGTCTGTCAAACAGATATTTTTACTAACTCATGAGAGGGATGTAAAGAGGTTCATTACTTTTTTTATATTTGAAGAGATTCATTATTTATTAAAATAATCAATCCAAGATAATGAAAACTAAATTCCAGTTGGATTTTAGTTTAAGACAAACGAAGACAATTTTCAAGAGAAGAAGCAAAACCACAAATCCTATCAAGTGGCTTGATGAAAAGGGAGGAAAGAATTGTCACTTCAGGTGGCTGAACACTACATCCGCACCTACAACCAAGTCCATATTTTATGCCACCACACTTCACTGCCATAATTATGTCACCTCAAATCTCTAATGTGTAAAATCCAAACTTAATAACAATTCTGAATTCCTTCAACCACAAACATTATCAACTTTCATAATCTTTCTCTTTACAATCAACATCATGCCAAAATTATAAATAGGCCTTAGTTTTACTAATCTACTTAATATTGTTGAAGCAGTCACTCTTTCCCACCCAATCCTAAATATAAGAGATATATATGGGAGCAACCCTCTTACCCACCCCTCCCGCAACCCCGACAAAAAAAAAATGGTTACACAAACATGGATATATGTTAAGCAAAGTAGAAAGACCACTGGAAGCTATTATAAAATCCTTACTTTTTCTTCCTAGAAGTAGTATCACAAGAGAGTATAATTACTTGCCTCTTTTCATTTGTAGGAACCTTGCTTGCAAGCCTGGCAGTTTGTACAGCAGCATCAGCCGATGCAGCCTCAGGAGTTGCTCGAAGAATCTCACATATGAGTTGTTGGCATTCACTCTGTAGCACATAATTCAAGAAAATATTTTAAATTAAAGAAAGAAAAAGTAGGGAAGAAGTTATTGGGCCAAAACCTTTGCCCAAACAAAACTCTGTTTCAATATTGAAAGAATTTTGATACTCAGTGAATCAAGTATTAAAGCACTAGTGAAGATCACCTGTAAAACTGTCAAGGAAAATCCAATACTGTAGCCTCCAGTAACTTGAGATGCTTCACAATCAAGGTTTACACCTGCTGACAGTGACTTTGGTGTGTTTATGTCACTTTGTAGGGAAGATTTCAACTCAATAAGCTCTCCAACAACAACATGATTCTCTGATCAATTACAGCTGAGAAATTTAGTTTCAATTTTTAATTTAAGAGTAATAAAATAGAAAGGAACTAAGAGTAATAAAAGAAAAAAAGTAGATGTCTCACCAAATATCCGAACAACGGAGTCCAAAATTGAATCGAGAAGCTCTTTTGTAGCAGCCTGTGCTTTTCCTGTAGGAGCCATCACAGGTGAGACGGGGCTCACTGCCAACAGAGTCCCAGCCAATGATATCCCATTCTGACGCTTCTGTCTTGGTAATTGGTACCTTTCTAACTGTGCCTTCATAAAGTGGAGACTGGTGGTACCAGCTCGAGGGGCCTTATCAATTCCAGACCTTGAAGAATTAATGGATTCTGCATGGGCTTTAATCTTGGTTGTGATGATCTCATGAATTGTGGGTCGCAATCGTTGGCTGTTACATAGATTTTGGCAAGTAACAATTTGTAAAAATATTAGGATTTTAAAAAAAATACGAGTATTTAAGGTTATAATGTCATTAGTTTGTTAAGTACTAGCAGTTGTTAAAGAAGGGAAAAAAAACAGCTCAAGACAATTTTTCACCATGTTCATCACATAATTTAAATCCACACTTATTTCAAGTTCGTATCTCATTAGAAACCATCTTACAGAAATCATCAGCAGATGATAAGATAACGAAAATTTAACGCAAATTAGATAGTTATACAGAACCATTTTCAGAATCTATCTAAAACCACCACGGAAAGAAAATAAGTTCTATTAAACATGCTACTATATGAGCATTGCAACCAACCTTATTACAGCACCAGCTGCAGCTACTTTGTGAAGTAAGCATAGGCACTCCACCATAGTCTGCAAATACTTCACATGAAGTGGAGCATCACTCTTTTTAATTGTTTCCTAAATCACCCGAATGAAAAACAGTGCTTTAGTGCAAAAGGTTAGAAAAATTAATGAAGTCGATGTGAGATGTGATAAAAAGTATTCATACAACAAATTCATCAGGAGTGGAATCCAAAAGCCACAATGGGATTTGACGGGATATGACTTTGACATCCTTCCCATCACCACCATTAAGCCGTACTGCATGTCCATCCAAGGTATTATCGTCATGTGGCTCCAAAGAACCATCCTCATCATGGCCATCATATGATGAACTGGTAACAAGAAGTGAGATACAAATTCAGACAATCAAACGAAGTATAAAATATAATATTTACAAAAGAGAATAAAAACTAAAAAAAAGAATCCTAATGACTTTCTGTGTATCTATAAAACCAAGCAGTATAGGCTTCTGATGATTTGCACAAAATGAAAACTTGAAAACCAACAAGAAAGCACTGATAATGATGGAGCAAATGTAAGGGACAGGATCCAGAAAGAGATTTTAAAATAGATTAAAGGTTCAGAAATGAACACTAACTAGAAGAAAAAGCTTAATCAAAATTTGGGATTGCCATAAATTGTATGACTTTATGATTCAAAAAAAATTTTTGGCACCCAAATCATTCCTCCATGTATGGTAGAGACTCATAAAACTCAACTAACTAAAACAGTGATGAAGGCTTCTAGTCCTATACTTTAAAAAAGAAATCTGTTAATATTCAGTTGCAATATCATGAAAAGAGGAAAAAATGATTCCAAGGGAAGAATTCCAGTTTATTAATGATTGATTCATGCTTAAAGAAATGCAGATAATACCATCATAACTGTTAAAGCACACTTTATGTGATGTTCGAAACCATAAAATGCTTCAAGCGGAATGTACAAACAGACAACCAAATCAAACAATTACAAAGTAATTTGATCTTTACATCATAAGACAAGTAAAGCCAGGAATGAAAAAGACAAATGAACCATCTAGACTTACCCTCCATCAATGGAACCTGGCCTGTATGGTCCATCTACAAGCCCCTGACTGCCAAACTGACCATCACCTTTCACTGTCCTGGTTCTTCGAGACACAGGCTGTGAAGTATTTGCTGTAAATGCAACAGCTGTGGTAGTTGGCACTTCATCATCCTTTTCATGCACGCTTGAAGCAACTGAGCTGCAAAATTTAATCAGCTTAATGACCAAAAGTTCTGTAATTGGGGAAAGCTTTCCAGAAAATGCTTTGTATTGACATAAATCAAATGTGGAAAACATAGAGAATCAGATAAGAATCTCTTTCTTTTGCAATTCGATATGAGTAGCTGAGACAGTGAATCACAAAAAGAATAAACATGGAAAATGGCATAGTATGTCAGACACTAGGGAGCATTTCACTTGAAATTCTTTTTACTACAATCCTGCGATCATCCAATCACAACAAAGAATCATGTAGGGTCTACCACTTATAAGTGTGGACTCCATATAATTTTTGGTGGACCTTACACAATTTCATGATTGTGATTGGTTAATTGTAGTGTAATAATTGTAGGAGATATACTTCCAGACACTAACAGGTCTGCATTGCAATATAAAGAAATCAATAAAATGCGACCTAAAAGCTCAGAATTGAAAGTTAAGCCCTAAATAGATAGGAAATACCTGTATTCACCCTTATTATAAAGATGTGCATGCAAATCCTCCAAAACTTTATAGAACAGAACACTTCGCAACTTTGTCAGTTCAGATCGAACATCTTGGAGGGCACCAACCTAGAGTATAAAAGTTAAAATGTTTTAATGCAGGCAGAATATCTAAAAGCTCTCTCTATAGTTTCAATTTCACTAAGCCAAGCAGATGTAGAAAAGCTGAACTATTTGTAAGCATAAGATTTCTTCAAATCTGGAGAAGATAGAGGTTTGCACCAACCAAAAAGGTGTTCAACATGAAATAGTTAGATCAAGAAGAATTGCACCAATCTTGAGATAGTGGCCACTTGGTTGGGTTTTGAGAAGCATTTTCTCTTCACATTTCAATTTATTTGCTTCTAATTTATTTTCCCTTCGTTTACTTTTTATCTCCCCATCACTCTGCATCTCTTCCCAAAACACCATGTTTAGCACATAACATAGAACCCAAAATCTGGCTGTAGCCAAATTTGAATCTCAAATGCAGTAACCCAAAGGAAAATAAAACAATCACAACCTATACATCTAAGTGCTCCACTCAAAGGTTATAAGCATAGTGTCAAAAAATCACTGTAATTAAAAGCAATACACTGCTGTGTTGGAATTGGTTTTCCATTTCCGGTTTTCGTGCTTAAGTTTTTCTTTTTGCTGCTAGATAAACTATATGCTATTGTAAAACCTCTGTTATATGAACATATGAAGACAACACCTGTTCCAATTCCATTTGGATTAACAAAATTGCAATGTACAAACATAGACTAGGCTTGGAGCTTTTAATTGACTTGACCTTTCTCTTTAACTTATTTATGTACCTGTTGATTATTTTGCATGTTGAACATAGTTTTAGACATTTCAATGGTCGGGTTTGGTTTTGTTGTAATCATTGTGTATCGTCTATCAATGTTATGCCACAAATAAAGAAACAAAAGAAGAGGGTTGACAATGATAAGAAAGAGACAAGAGAGAACATCATGATAGCATCTCTTTTAAGCAACATTTGCAGCCCAATTGCCAATTAACAGTCTAGTTAACTGAAGGTTAAAACTGTGTAACAGATTTAATTCAGAGGTTCATGTCTTCACTCTCTAAACCATAGGATACAATTTGAAACTAGGTCAGAATAATAAGGTTCTTTTGTGCATTTTTTCCAGATATTTAACAAAGCCTTACACTAGGCCTTAGCCATAATTCTGAGATAAACATGGCCATTTAATACGTGAGGCCTAACAACTTTAAGATGAACACCTGATCTATTATGTCAAACAACAAGTTAATCTAAAAGATAAAATTGTGAGAGAAGTTGAAACAACAAGTTCAACAATTGTGATAACATGTTAAGTCAGTGCGAATCTAATCTAAGAATTGGCAGCAACATAAGTTGAACTAAAGTTTTAACTAAATAAAGCAAAGAATAAAAAAGGATACACTGCTAGCAACATTTTATAAATTACCGTTTGGAGGCCTTCTCGCTCAAGCATCAATGATGACTGAACATGCAATTGAGCTGCAGCATAAAATTGTTTTTCAGAAATGAGCTTCTCAATACGAGCAGGAACCTGATCCACATCACAAACAAACTAGGTGATTCATCAGATTTACTGGGTTTATTGTAGGAACATAGGAAGGCATGGATGGAGTGAAGTGCCCAACCCTAATGAAGAAGAAGCATGTAAATACTCATAAAATATCATTTGAATATTAAAATAATGATGGACAAACCTTAGCTATGCCCTCAATCTGATCTAACAAGGAGATTATGTGACGCAGTGTCACAGATCGATACCACAACTGATGCAATTGTTTATTGCGTGCACCAAGATGTTTCTTTGCCTCAGCCAAATCGACCTTTAAGACACCAATACTTTCAGTAGATTCACTGAATAACCGCAAGATCTGAAGAGGAAAGAACAGTTAGTAACAAGAAATGTAAAAGCTCACTCTTCTCTTGTCATTTCACCAAAGAAGAAGGAAAAGAAAAAGAGAAAAGGCCATAAACAGATGGCACCTTATGAAGTTACAATACCAGAAATAATTAGGTTTGATTGCAAATTTATTTATTTATTTTGCACGATCTATTTGTTTAGACATATAACAGTATTAATTATTCGAACCCCTAAAACTCTTATCAGTCAATTATTCATCATGTAATATGATTCATTACGATGAGTGTCCAGTGGACAGCAGATTGATGGAGGGCTCTCAAAAACAGGACTGATGATCGAAACATAATTAGAGATTGAAATACTCAAATCAATGGAGCATAGTATATACTTCTATATCAGATGTCCAAAATGAGTGTCTTGATTTAAAAGTCAAATATAATTTTACTTCTCCACGTCATCTTAATTTCAAATCCAAAATAGAATAGCACTCCTCATATATTAAGCTCATCTTTGAACTTCCTACCATTCAAGGGGGCATATTAATTGGCCCCTTAAAAATACTCCAAGAGGGAGAATGACGAATTGTAACATTTCTCTTTCTAGTATCAGCAGAATCTCAGGACTCAAGTACAAGGAACTATAAAAGAGAAACCACAAAAAGAAATATCTCTCTTAGTTTAATCGCACTTGAAACATATCTATACTATATATAAATCTGGATTGAGAGGTGTAAAACTTTTGTGAAGACCATATTACCCTATTACTTTTACTTGTCAAATAAGCTATTTTCTTAGTACTATTAAAATAGTTTTATTTATAATAGAGTTCTTATCCTGTTAGACTAAAAACCACATTAGAAGAAGTGACAAATTTAAATAATGAAGTCTAGAGTTAATGATTTTAATAGAATTTTATAGCATTAGAATAACTTGAAAATAGTATTGTTTTCATTAAAACAATTAAGATAAGATAATACGGTTCACATGCAGTTAACTAAAGGCTAAAATCAGTAAAAGACACAGAATTCCATCAATATTTGAAAAACAAGACACGATAATTTTAACTAATACAAGAATCTCTGAGTCATATGCTTAAGCCTATCCCTTCATAACTTAGCAACCATTCCTCTTGAACCAGAAATCATGACACAATGAAAGATCTGTTTGTAGTGTACCAACCTTGAACCCACAACCATGTCAATATCACAGCTACTGTACTTATCAATATAGGTGAAAATCAAACACTAATATTCTCCATGAACCTGAAAGCAGACTAAAAGGTCGATGATTTCATGCAAGGCCATTATGCATACAGCACCAATTAAGAAATCAAGAATTGTAGGCTTTCAGGACAACATTTTCCAGCGTAAGTATGTTAAGCAAATTCCAATGTTAAAGAAAAGCACTTGAGAGGCAAATAAATATTCCATTGAACAATCCAAAGAAACTTGACCAGCAGTCACAGCCAACGGTGCAAAGACATGACCTCAAATGGTTGCCATTATTACTCTCCAGTCAAAAGCCATCACTAAAACCCCAAGCTTTTTGACTATATAGAATCAAATAAATGCACCTACCAATTGTGCGTCATGCGACCTGCTTAAAGTCCTAAGATAAGAACCCATGAACAAAAGGCAATAATCAACCTAATTTTTGTATCCAGAAATCCATGGAGAATAAGTCCAGAAAGATGAATTCTGCATGCTACAACACATATTGCATCTAAATCAAACTCTCCTCACATCACAACAGTAGACACCATTACATATAAAATGCATCCCAAAACTTTTTGAGAGAGCATGCTTGTTGGAACCCCTTCCAAGGGTAATATTCATTCAAACTTCCTTCTTAGCAAAAGAAGAAACATAACAATAATTCTCAAATGGAAACTTTCTGATAGTAAATAACAGTAGAAGGGTCACTCTGTCTTCTACGAGGCTGGCTTGCCAATATTTGCAGCGTCACCACATCTACTTATTCATAAATGATTGGAAGCATTGCTATGGGATAAAGTCCTCTTCCCGAAGAAGCTTAATATTTATCCTTAAAAGAAACCATGATTTACCAAAAAATGATGAATTAGTAATAGTGGCAATTTTAACATATAATTTTGGTAATTAATGACAAGTTTTTTCGCTTATATGTAATTTCCAACACAATTTAGAATCAAAATCACATGATTTTTTTTATCTGAAGCTACAGAAAACAACATTCCGTATTCGCTATCCAACTGATGATGCAACATTACCAGAAATTATGGAAAAAAATATGAGCATAGGATACATATGCATAACAAAATAACCACCAAAAATGGCTTTTGAAACAAATTAATTTGCAATTTAACTGAAACAAACACACAAACAAGCAATTTATTATCACCTTCATACTAAAAAACAAAGAAAACAGAAACTTGAGAAGCACAGTATACCAAAATTTAGCTTGGAAGAAGCTATTATAGAACCTGAGAATAATTTTGAATTGCTTTGTTGAAGCCACTGTGATAAGCATGCACAACTTCATCTACAACATCCTCAACAACATCGCTTTGGTCCTTTAATATCTGGACCTCACCATCACGATCTTTTGATGTCAGAATACGGACAACATGAGGTAGTGAATCAAAACGTGCAGCCGCCCAACTCTCATCTATTCTTGAAAGCTCATCTCTTAAATACTGCATTTAATCATAAGCAAACAGAAGAAGAAAAATGAGAAAAATCCTAAAACAAGTAAGTTCACCTCAGAATGCAGCGTTTTTTCTTCCCACAATTTAAGTATCAAATTGTTCACCATCAATGGGTGCTTCATAACAGCAAACCAAGGTGCCCAGAAATCAACAGAATAACACCATCCAAGTCAAGCATCCTATTCTAAAACAGAGTAATAATCAAAATGCTGTTCCAACTGCACCAGTCTTGAGATGATTGCCAAAACTTTCAATAAATTACAACATCATTTGGTTGTTGCTTTTACTACTTGCTTTTCACTTCTAGAAGCAAAAATAAATAAATAGACAAGTGTTTGGATAATGGATAGAAAAAAAGAAATTTTTTGAATAATTAAAAATTACACTAAATCTTTCCCGAAATACAACACAAATGAATTTTACTTTCATATAAAAATAACTATGTCAAAATTGGTGCTACATTTTAGGGATATAAATCATTATTAATCAATTACAGTATTGCCTTTTACCATTTTTGTTTGCTTTTTAGTAATTTTTTGTGAAGCTAAAACAAAGTAGCGAAAGCAACAAACATGCAGAGCCTAAAATCTTAGGACCAGAAGAAGAGTGAATTGAACTTACATCTTTATCTGGAGGAATGGGAAATCCATCCAAAATCCCCATCTCGAAAACTCTTTCACTTCTCCAAGGCTGAATAATTCGACAAACAGCACAAACTCACCTCATCACAACAAAGCGTTTAAGCCCACCTTAAAAAAGCAGATACGAAAAATAAATATTTTTTATTTTACTAGCTAAGTTAGAGCTCAGTATTAGAAACTAGCAGAGTTAAGCTGAATTTCTGATACTAATAACAAAAAGGAATTGCACAAAAAAAGTATAAAATTAATAATTTCCTTTCCCTTCAATTTTCCATTGTTTTCTCAGTAACCAAACAACAAGCAATGAAACACAAAAAGCTAAAAATCGAGAGAAACACCTTCAGATCCAGCACGTTGAGCACTAAAATAGACGAATACCAAGCAATGCAAAAATTCAATTAAAATATTCAAAAAATAAATGTTAGAAGATAGTGAAATGTTCAACACGGAAAATTTTGCGATTCAAAGGATTAAAAACAGATCATAGCATTTTCAGAATTAAATAAAATCCTGTAACGCCAAAATGACATCGTCTCTAATCAAAACGAACAAGAAGTGTATTGGAACTGTGAATCGGTGAAGAACAAAAAAATAGATAAAGTGAGCTTCATTCGTCCTTTCAGATACCTATTATAAAACGCCGCTGAAAAGCGCGTGACACTTTTGAGACGCCGAGCTCGCGTGAAACTCAGATCTCTTCAATGGCAGAAGAAGAAAAAGAGGAAATGTCAAAATCTTGGAATAGAAGAAAACGGAGGAAGAGGAAGACGAAGCCGGGCGATATTCCGAGCTGCCCAATATTGATTTTTATTTATTTTAAAACGGAATCACACGGTGTTAAAACGTTAGAAAATGAGAAGGAAACAAATGTTAATCTTAAGTGCGAAATGGGATTATGTTTTTTTTATTAGATTTAATTAATTTTTCAATGCTTGTCTAGTTAAATTATTTATTTATTATTTTATGAAAAGAACAGGCTTAGAAATTAAAAATCTTATTTTTAAGTCCTCATTATGAATATGACGTCTAGCCAAAGTTATTAAGTAATGATAATATATGCAATTACTGTTTAAGATTAAATCATTCTCCAACATAATTTTGTGAATATTAATTTTAAAAGAATCCAGTTTAGACATTTCAAAGGAAAAAAAGTACAATCTTTAAAATGTTGACTTGTACTTTCAATTAAAAAAAAAAGTGTAATTGCTTTGTCTCAAAAGAAAACGTACATTCTAAATAGTAAAAATTGAAATTATATTTGATTAAAAGTAAGCAAATAAAATTAAAATATAACTTCTTAGAATATATATATCTATATAAAATAAAATTTATGCATTTTAGTATACATAAAAGGATAAAATTTTTTCTTAAAATATGTAATTTGTATTTAGATCCAAACACATTTTTCATGAATAGAAAATTACACCTTTTAATCTCTAAAGTAATAAAGCAAGTTAAAAAATATAGTGTTAAATCATAAAAAAATTTAAACTATTCAAAAAATTTTAAATAAATTTTAATTATTTTATTATATCTAATAATTAATTAATTGTTTTAATCAAAATATCAATTATCCTTCTATTTTAATAAAAAATATTTTAACTAATAACAATTAATCAATTTAATATATCTGATTCAAAATAAAAATATAAAAATTTAATT